CCACTTTATTTTCGCTTTCTGGCCCACGTGTGATAATGTCCATAGTGCGGTAATTGTGTTGTGCAAAGGAGCCCATGGTGATGGACAACTTCCAAGCCCCTGCTTACTCTCTCATCTTACGTTTTTTGGTTTTAAACAGGACTTAAGACTAAGCAGTGAAATGGAGGACCATGCTCCACAAAGTAAAATAATGGCCATGCTGTCACTAACCTTTTGTGCTCTTAAGGCCTTGGCTGGGGCTGGGACCATGCCACTTCTCTGTGTTAAAACGGAACCTTTCATGGTTCCACAAAACTAGTTAGTTAGATGGAGGAAACTCATAACATTCAAAGTCATTGCCATGTTTGTTTGGAAAATCAGCTAATAATAATGGCAATCATCATCATCATCATTATCATCTCATGCTACCAGCTGCTTTCCTTCAGTTAGTTTCAAAGGCGCTACAAGATCCCTTTGCATACCCATAACATTCAGAACTCATGCCTCAGTTTCCCTTTCTTTTCCCCATCCTTTCTTCCTTTTATATTGTATCTTTTTTAGATTGTAAACCTGAAGGAATGGACAAGCTGTGACTTTTAGATTATATGTTAGCTGCTTTGTGAGCTTTGTCAGCTGTAGAACGGGATATAAAATTATTCAGTCCATCAATGACTAAATGACTACTTATATGCCTTTTTGCATTCTGTTATATTTTGAGTTGCTGGTTAAAGAAGTTCAGATTTGAATGGACACAGTCCCATGAGAACTGCTGTCTGTCTGAAAGCCGTCATTGTCAGCCATTTCAGAATCTCCAGCTTTCACCTCTCAGGAAACTTTGGCAGATGAAGTATTTGCCTTGTTTGTGGTCAGGCATATTTGTTTTCTTTATGTCTAAACGGTGTTGTTCTTTATAGAATTAGATCCATCTCATTTTATGAGGTGAAAAAAGTTCCAAATGCGATGCTTGTCCAATTGCCTTTGGTATGTTATGGAAAATTGGTTAGCAGCCTTGCAAACTCTTACGTCTGCCTTAGCAAAGAAGGAGTGGGAAAAGCAGTTGACAGGTAGCAGGAAATGGTTTGAAAAGATGTTCCTTATAAAACAGATTTCCAGATGACTCTGTCCCTTGCTTTATAGCCTCATGGACCTCATTAAGGCTTGTTATGCAAACCCTGTCTTTCAGTTACAGCCAATTTCACTTGCAGGGAGAATGTTATTTTTTATTTTATTTAGAAAAAGGAAGTTCCTGGTGAGCACATATTCGACACCCAAACCATGTGCTGCTTATTTCTCTCCTGGAACATAGGAAGATCCATTTACATCTGGACCCTGGTATTATAAGAGAAGAACATGAACAAGTGAGAACATCTCATTGATAGAAACTCCAACTCCTACTTCAGAACTCAGCCTTTGAACAGTGAGGACCAAGGCTGGAGTCGAGATGAACCAGGGGAAGGATGAACTATGAAGTGTTCCTGGCAGCTTCACAAGCGCACAAGCTGTATGTCTGGATGATGCATACAACTGTCAGGTAATCCCTCCAATAAATCCACCAAAGCCCCTGCATCCATTGTATTTGATTTCTCTCCAGGAAGAAACTGGTTAGCAGCCTTGCAAACTCTTAAGTTTAGCAGAGAGGAGTGAGGAAAGCAGTTGACAGAGGCACTAAATAAAGATGAGTTATTTCATAATAATAGTCAAGCAATTGTATTTTGGTACCAAGGCTGGTAATCTTTTTAGCAACAGTTTTTGGACAGCTGCAATACAGTGTCTCATGATTTAAGAATTGCTCTTCATGCAGAGACTTTTTAAAAAAGGTGGAAGAGGAGGGAGACAAGCTTCCATCATCCAACAGATGGTCACTCTCTGCATTTAATCTGCTGCAAGGAACTCAACAAGTTCTCAAATGGTTCAACAGTTCTAGCTAACCAAGCTTGTTATATGCATCCCTAAATTTCAGAGGATGGATTACAAGTCCAGAAATTAGTGACACCTAACTAAAGCTCTAAAGAGATGCAGATAAGGGAGATCTGTGGTTAGCTTTCTGGACTTCCTTCAAATGTGTGCAGCAATTGTACATGGAGGGAGGGGGTGAGATTGGATCTGGACAGTATTAAAGGGCAGATGTATCTTCCCACATTTTCTTCTCTATCAAAAATGTGATAAGCACATGTGTGCATGCATGCATACACATACAAGGTGCTATTAACTTAAATGGAGAAAACATGGCAGGACCAAAGCTTTCCCTTCTTGCCTCTATCATGCTGAGCAGACCTTATAACATATTTGGAAGGAAGAATCCAAATCTCACTTGGGAAAACAAAATGGGACACAAAGAGTTAAACTTCCTCTTACCCAGTGCTATTGCCCCAATCCAATTGTGAAATGCAACAACAGGTTCTAAAATAAAAATCAGGTGATCTGAGAATGTGGAATGCAGTTTGGCCCATTTATAGAAGGTAAGAGGTTAGAAGATTGATTTCCTGCTTTTGGGGTCTTAATTAGGCCCTCTGCTTTGGAACATCTCCCAGCCTTGATCAATCATGATAATTGGCTTTATTTCTCTATTCAACCTGGATTCTAACATTTATATGATACATTGGCATCCTTTAGTAGATTGTTCCATAATTTTCCTGTTTGTGGGTTGGCTGTACTCTGGAAGGAAGTGGGAATGGTGTCACATCATGCTTTCATGTTCTACACTATTGCTGAACAATAGCAGTCCTCCAAATATTGCACAGAAATTCCCATAATCCCTCACTGTTGAGTATGTTGGCTTGGTACCATGGAAGTTGTAGGCCAATACCATCCACAACCACACTTCCTTGCTGTCCATGAGCATGCAGTATTTGCTTTTAGCTTTCCAGACCTCCCACTGAAGAGGGAGATTTGTGGTTAGCTTTCTCGGTTTTCTTCAAAAGTCTTTGAGCACATTCCCACTACAAAATAACCTGACGTGGAAATCGGGTTATTTTGTGATCGAATCTCTCTGGGCCGTCTACTCCTCTTTTATTTCCCTTTGTCGTTCACACTTAAGGGGGAGGGTGGAGAGGAAGAATGGCTGCCACAGAGAGAAGAAGAGCAGGAGATGAAAGAAAACTCCTTCTGAACAAATCTTGCTAAGTTGGAAATGACTTGGAGGCACACAACAATAACAAATAGAGGAGGGGTGGTGGTATGGTAGGAAGGCTTGGGCCCTGGTGACTCCTCCTCTGCCTCCTCCGGATGGACTGCCCTCCGGTGAGCCCCTCACCTTGCTGCCTTCAGGGGACCCTCTCTGCCCATGGCAATGGTAGCAGTGGCACTCTATCTCCCTCTCCTCCTCTTTGCCCCAACCTACATTCAACTGCCTCAGCCGGGGAGCCCAGCCAGAGTACTCCTGAGCTCTCCTCTGCCTCTGCCTCTGCCTCTGCCTCCCCACCTCTGGAGGCGACTCTGAGCCCGTCGGAGCCCAGGGAGAAGCAACCCAGGGAGCACCATGGGAGAGGAGTCGCTCAAGATGGTGCCCTGCAGCTGTGCCCCAACAGCTGGCACAGCCTCCAGAGCACCAGGGCTGGCTGAGAGAAGCCAGCAAAAGCCAGCACAGCCCCCCAATGTGAATCCGACCCGTCATTCCCACTTGTTGAACACGGTTCAGATTCAGGTCTTTTCAAAAGAACTGCTCAAAAACTAGTGTCAGGAAAGAGCGGTTCTTTTTCATTTGCCTCACTTCATCTCGACTTAAACTGAGCACAGTAGGACTGGAATCAGTTTCAAGTGGGAATGATGAACATAGAACCCAATCAGCAATTCAGGTTAAATCCTAGTGGGAACGAGACCTTTATTTTCCAAACTCAGTTGTGCCTTTATGCATCTCTTTCATTTCCTTTTGGGACAGATCATTATTGACAGAAAAAACACTGTAAATGATACTTGGGGCTTGAAGATTGTGAATGCTGACTCAGATCCTAGACAAATAACTTGGAATTCACTTTCCAGAAAACAGATATCTGTGCAACATGTTTAGAAGAAGAATTCAAGAGAGTTTCTTCTCTGGGAGTTGTAGAGCAAAAAAGGTAACTGTTCCAAGCTCTGACCTCGAGCTTACATGACGAAACCAGAACCACTTCTGTCTTCTGTTGGAGGCTCAACTGTTCTTGGTTAGAAGGTAAATCAGTCCAGCTCTGTTCAGGCCTTCTTAGCCTAGCCTCCGCCTTCAATACTCAAGCCTCAAGGGTGAAAAAAGCACTTAGTGCTTAAGTGTTTTGACCTCTGCTCCATCCTTCTCCAACCCCTCCTCTCAGCCCACCTGCCACTCTTAATGCACCCCTATGTGGAGGTTCACTCTCTCTTGCACAACAAAAATCACATTCTCAACAAGATGAGGAGGCAGTGAGCTGATTTCTGCCCACCACCTCCCAATTTTGACAGCTCCCCTGGCTCCCATTCTCACTGCTGCCAGCAAATGCACTTTTCTTTCCATTGTTCAGCCACGGCAATTTTACTACCCACTCCCCCCCCCCACCTTAATGGTCAGATAGCAACCCTGTTCAACCTGAGGTCATTGGCAGCATGCTTTAATAGACCATAAGAGTGGTACACTTTGTAAGCCAGTGGGCCAAAATAGCATGGAAATGAAATTACTCTCTGATGGACAGATCCCTAAGGCACAGGGCATGGAAAGGGGGCCAAGAGGGAAACTCACATGTTTTCATCCACTGTGATGCCTTGAGGCTTGATGTGACCAGGGAAGGGATTAAAATGCAATGTTTGCATGGCAAAAAGTTAGCAGTCTCTCCCAAGGAGGAGAAGCCTTATCAATGGTAGAAAAGGCACACTCTCTTCTGAGAGAGTGGACAGGTTGCTTCTCTGCCATCAGAAAACATATAATCTGAATGAATGCTGGATGCTGCCCTGTAGAGGGATGTGTCAAAATATCAAAGCCCAAAGAATGCCCAGTATGCAAAGGGAACTTGTAGCACCTTTGAGACTAAGGGCTTTACTGCACAAGCCCCATTCTTGCTATAGTCAAGCTTGCCAGCAAAAATGGAAATATATCTGTATTCCCTGTGTCACTTCACATCTTCACAATCATGCAATCGCTGCCATCGCCCTATGCCCTACCCAACATGCCTTCTGGGTTTTTTTAATTTAATTTTTTATTTACACTTTTTGCACAATTCCAGAGCTCTGTTTTGTTGCTGCTTCTGTGCGTCAAGTTGTTTCTGATTTATGGTGACCCTAAGGTGAACCTACGTATCATGGGGTTTTCTGGGCAAGTTTCTTCAGAGGGGGTTTGCCTTTCCCATTCTCTAAGGATGAGAGAGTGTGAGTTGCCCAAGGTCACCCAGTGGGATTCCTTGGCCAAGTAGGAATTTGAACCCTGGACTCTGAGTCCAATGCTCAAACCATTATACCACACCGGCTATCTACTGTGATTTAATTTGCAGATTTGTTTTGTTTTTTAAAGAAAAGAGAAAGCAAAAAAGGGTTATCAGGCTGTTTGGGAGTAGTGATAAGAGGAGAGGAGGCAATGCTGACACCACATGATTGCCAATAATGCGACTGTCCCAATGGTGACATTTCACATCTGGGGACTTGGTCTGTTAAGAGCTCATTGATGGATTTCCCTCATCATTGAAAAAGGATGTCCTTAACATGGGGGATGCAGCAGCTTTAGGTCAGGTGGCATTGCCAAAACCACTTTTTTCCAGATCTAATCAGTTTAAAAGCCATGTGTACTAATCTCCTAATTGTGCAAAAGAGGTTGCAGCATAAGCTTTGGTAGACTTTGGGGTCATTCAGACATTTTCTTTTAGCACAATGATGTGAATCATTCCACTCACACATTCTGAGTTTGTTATTCACACTATGAAACCCAATATCGATTATCTTGGATTAAGGTGCGTTTCGGGCAGCCCCCCTCCAACTTAATCAGATGCAT